AGGGCCGCGCGGGACCCCAGCCGCCGCCGCCTCGCCCTCCTGCGCCTCGTCGTCCCCGGGCCGCGGGGGCAGCTCGGAGCCCGGCTCCCCGCGCTCTGCCTACTCGTCGGACGACAGCGGCTGTGAGGGTGCGCTGAGCCCGGAGGAGCGCGAGCTGCTCGACTTCTCCAGCTGGTTGGGGGGCTACTGAGCGCCCGCCTCACGAGGTAACCGCCGGGCGGCGAAGAGGGAGGATCGGAGGCGAGGGCGGCCGGGCGGGGTGAAGTGGACAGGCCCCACGGCTCGCGCCCCCGCGAGCCAGCGGAGCCGAGCGCCAGGGCCGGGCTGTGGCTTCGATTTCGCTCACTCTTCATTTTCCCCAAACTTTTTCAAGCCTGTGCAAGACCAGCGTGTGTTTGTCCGGATTGCAAAACTTCCTCTCGCTGCCCCGCCGCCAAAGGGCGAGCGGGGATGGCGGGGGGAGGCGGGGGGTGCCCTCCGGCGGGTGAGGCCCCAAGTGCTTGCGGATCCCGGGGCAGATCAGGGTGCTTGGAGGCGGGGTGACTTTGCATTGCAAATCGCGCGCCCGGCCTGGGTGGCAGAAATGAGTCGGCGGGTGCGGAGCCCTGACTCACCGCGGCTCGGAGCGCTTGCCCCGCCCCCCGCCCCGGCTCGGGCCGCAGACCGAATCCGGGGCACCCACGGACTCGAGCTCCAAAGTCAACCAAGCAAACGAAACTGCCGACTTCGCTTGTAGGAGGTGGGGGCAGGGCCGGATCCCGCACTAACGAGCGTTCCTTTCCCCCTTCTCTCCCTGCAGCCGCGCCCACCACCTGGGAGCCAGCACGGTGGACCCGCCCGTGCCTTCGTCCCCGCTGTCCCGGCGGGCCAAGCCACCGCCGAGCCGGGGACCCCGCCGACGCCCCCCGGCCGTCCAGGCTGACCAAGCGCCAGTGTGGAAACGGGTCCCGGCCTGACCTCGCCGGGTTCTGACCACCCCGCCCCCAGAGGCTTTCCACGTGCAAGGGGGCTGGGCACCAACACTTGGAGGATTTTCTGACAGGGAGAGGATTTTGTGAGGACATGGAGAATCTGTTTTTTACACATTAACTTGAACTGCCCAGGAACACTGGCAATATGAAGACTTATTTTTGTACAAAGAATCTCTAGACTTGGAACACAATAAAGATTATCTACCCCCGCCCCACCCCCACTACCTGGAATTGTCTAACCTGGCCAAGATCTGGACCCCACAGCCCTAGAGGAGCAGGATCCCTGGTGGGCATCCCCTCGGGGTGCTGGGTTGATGCAGGGCAGTGCTCCGCTGGGGAGAGACCATGTCTGGAAACCTGTTTTGGGAAGGTGGACTTTATAAGTAAATCGGTACTGTGTATCTGTGGTGTTGGGGTGCCCTCTAGGTACCCTCAGGCTCCCCATTTCCTGAGCAGGGGCAGGGCATGGATGGGAGGGTGCCCCCAAGACTCTGAAGCCTGCAGGCCTGGCCCCCTGTGGTCACTTCTCCCTGGACTCAGCCCTCTAGTCTGTAGGGTGGGCAGGGAGGGGTGAAGTCTGGGAGGCCAGCCTGGTGGCCACTGTGCCAAAGCAGTTCATAGGCACCTTGTGGGGCAGGGGACTTCCGGCAGATGGTGGCAGGTTAGTGGGTGTGGTCCAGGCAGGGCTACTTCACAGCTGGGAAGCTGTGGTCCAGAGGCTGCTGACTGGCATGGGGGTCTGGGGCAGGTGCCCGGGGTGGGGTTGGACCCGAGGCAGTCTGATCTGTGGACACCAGCCTACCGCCTGTCTCGAGGTCCAGGCTGCCAGGCTGTTCAGATCTCCACTGCCCGCTACCAGCTGGCTGACCCTGGCAAGTCGCTCAACCTGCAAATGGGCGTGACAGCAGAGCCACCCTACAGAGTTGTGGGAGTTCTTAGGAGAGGTCTGGTGCCCTGTACCAGGCCCTCAGCCACTGTGCCTGTGTCCCCAAGCCCACCTATGCCATGCATGCCTCTGTGTCGGGCGCTGTGAGAACCGCCCTTGAGGGGAACGAGGAAGCACCCCCAGACTCCCCCAGCCCAGAGGGCCGCCTCGGGGAGATCACTCAGCTCTACCTTTGACCCTGGCCTCGGCAGCTTTGAAGTCTCGCTGTGCCCCAAGTGCTCTTTTATCGCAGGGGTGGGGTGAGGCTGGCGGGGATCCCCCAGGCTGCTTTAGGGTGCTGAAGGCACCCCTTTCTTCAACAGGGAGTGGTTGGGTCAAAGCCGTTGGAACCCTGGGAGGTGGAGCAGCCAGTGTTGGCGCAGAGCAGATGTCTCCTGGGTAACCATGGCGACAGGGTCGGTGGGTCTGATGAAGCTCAGCCTGGGGTCAGCAGAGCAACTGCGGCTTGAGGCTGCAGGGCCGAGTGAACCGGCCTTGTCCAAGCGACAGGAGGGGGCATGTTATATGGCCACCCAGCAGGGGCCACCCCACAGCCTTCTCCCAGGGACCCGCACTCCGATCAGTGACCTCACTGGGTCACTGGACCTGGGCTGTCCCGTGACTCCTCACCTTGACCCCAGGGAGAGGCCTGCAACCACGCGGACACAGGCGGTGGTGGGCAGGGCGGGACTGTGATGGGTTTGGGGGAGGAAGGCACAGGAGAATGGGGCTGAGAGGGAAAGATGGCCCTCCCTGCCACGGGAGCTGGGGCCTTCGTGCAGTGGATGAAACTCTGCAAAGCGTAAGCGCTGCCATCTTGGTTTTCCCATTTTTTATTATGGAACATTCCAAACATGCAAAAGTTCCAAAACCTTGACTGGACACCTCTTCTGTGCCAGGAACTGTTAAGCATTTAGGATGCATCGGTGTGCCTAGGGGAATCCCTGCCCCCGTGGAGCCAGTTCTAGTGGGACACGGATCTCACCCACCAGCAGCGTCTGGATGAGTCTGTCATAAGGCTGGACGATGATGGACACACTGGGCCCTGAGAAACCTCGGAGAAGCCCCCCTCACCAGTGTCCACGACTGTTGACACTTGGCCACCCCTGCCACCCCCAAAGGGTTTTTTAAAAATTTTTTCTTTATTTTTTATTTTTTTTTTGAGGAAGGTCAGCCCTGAGCTAACATTCATGCTAATCCTCCTCTTTTTGCTGAGGAAGACCGGCTCTGAGCTAACATCTATTGCCAATCCTCCTCCTTCCCCCCCCCGCCAAAGCCCCAGCAGATAGTTGTATGTCATAGTTGCACATCCTTCTAGTTGCTGTATGTGGGACGCGGCCTCAGCATGGCAGGAGAAGCGGTGCATCGGTGTGCGTCCGGGATGCGAACCCGGGCCGCCAGTAGCGGGCAGGGACTGAGAGAGCCCAGTAGCGGGTTAAGCGCGCGCACTTAACCGCTAAGCCACAGGGCCAGCCCCCTCAAAGGGTTTTGAAGCAAATCCCAGACATCATATTGTTTGACCCATAAATTCTCTGTGCCTCTAAAGGACAGCCCAATCCCACCATCCCCCAAATGAACAACAGCTCCTTTCATCAAATACCCAGCCCTCTGATGGTCTCACAGTATTTTTTATAGTTGGTTTTATAAAATTAGGATCCAGCCCAGGTCGACGCATCGAATTTGTTTGTCGGTCTCTTAAGCCTCCTGTAAGGCTTTATCTGAGCAGTGGGTCGTGTGTTCTGCAGCGTTTCCCACATCTGGGCGTTGCTGGTGGCGCCATGCTGGGTGTTATTTCTCGAATGTCTGTCCCTGTATTTCCCGTAGATCGGGGTGGGGCTCAGAAGTAGATGTGGGATCAGGTTCCGGCTTAGCTTTTGGTTCCTGCAACTGCATCCCCTCAGGAGACACTGTGCCGTGACAGGATCACTGATTGTCCAAGTGGGGACATTTTTGAGAGGGGCAAGGGCTGTGGTTGGTGATCCACCAGGACAGCAGGTGTGTCACCTGGGCACGCTGGCCCACCCACTCACGTAGTTGGGATTCCCCCCAGGCTGTCACTTACTGAGCCCCAGTCACTGCCCCACTTTACAGGTCTGGAAGTGGCGGCTCTGAAAGTTCAGTGCCCGAAGCCACAGAGCTTGAAGATGATGGGAATCAGGATTCAAACCTGGACGGCTTCATTCCTGAGTCCTTGCAATACTTCCCTCCCGGGAGGGCGGGGCCCTGCCTGGGGGCTGTCCTGGGGAGCACACCTTAGCAATTTAGTGTTCCAGATCAGCACACCTGGACCCACGCCCACCTGGCCCAGGTGCCCAGCCGGCCCCAGGTGCTGCCATGGGGCAGCAGGGCTCTGCCGGGAGCCCCTGGCCCAGGCCTTGCTCCCACCTGGAGGATGAAGCCGATTCCATACGGAGGGTGACCAGGGGCCGGAGGGTGGGATTAGGTTGGGGACCCCAATCTATGGGATGGAAGGAAAGGTGCTTTTGGCCTTAGGGTAGGACTGGGGCCGGGAAATCTTTACTAAAATGACTCTACAGAGTCAGAATTGGCAGACGCTGTGTGGGCAGGGCTGGGGTGGTAGGAGAGAGGGGCACAGTCTGGGTGACCAGAACCCCAGGGAGCGCTCTGAGGACCCTTTGCCTCTTCGGGTCAGTACATTGTTCTCATCTTCTCCTGATAGCCGGCGCCCCAGAAGCCCTACTGTGTTGTCCTGGGTGTGTCTCTGTGGCTGAAACTCACCCAACCCCTTTGTCCTGAACATGTCAGAAAACGGATGTATCCCTTGAGGCCGTCCACCTGCGGGGCTCTGCTGACACAGGACCGCCCCCAACGGAGGCTGAAGACGAGCACAGACGTCCACGCATCCAGGTTTGCCTTATCTGGCCCGCCGGCTCCCATGCCCATTCATTCTTCACTGGGCACCTTCTCTGTACTGGGAACTCAGGGTGTGTCTGTGTGCCAAAGGATACCCTGCCCCCAGGGGGCCTGCGTGCTAGCGGGGTCAAGGGATCTCACCGAGAGTAGTGGCGATGAGTCAATCGTACGGTCCCACCATTGATGGACACACTGGATCCCCGGGGGAAACAGCAAGGGTCCTGGGTCGTGGTCCGTGGGGTCACTTAGCCTCTCTGAGCTGTGTCCCTAAAGCAGAAACTGCAGTGCTGACCTCGTAGGGCTGCTACCTGTCCCATGTGCTGGAACTGGAGCGATGCTGGGTGCTGAGCGGGGCAGACGAGGCCCTCCGTCAAAGCCGTGTTGTGAGTGGTTGTTCTCACCCATCCCGGGGCAGCCCCACAGTCTCCCCGAAGGCATGCCCCTGGCCCCCATTTGGAGGATATCTTGGACTGCTCATTCTGGCCTTAATTTTGGATTAGAGGAGGGGGCCCTTGCAGCCTACCCATCAATCTGCCTCTGAAGCCTTGAGGGTCTCTGGGCACCTGGGGAAATGGAT